AACAATAAAGTTGTAAGTTTCCTAGAGAGATTTCTGACATGACAGTGTGAGTAGTTGTGTGGACCCTCACTCCAGTAGAATTAATCAAAACAACTTTGCAAACTAATATCCCTGCAAAGACTCTAGATATGGTCTCAAAGACATTTAGCAGCTAAATATTAGGAAAATCTAAGATTTGCTAAGAGCAGAGGGACTCAGCAGTACTATTTAAATCTAGACCTGATTTCCCTCTCCCCTGCCCTGGATCAGAAGGAAGCTATTCCACACAGGAACAATGGAAAACATAGGGCTCTGCTTGCTGGGAGCTGCCTGGGGAGAAAGACATCTTGATTTCTCCTATCTGCAGCTACCTGATGCCAGAATTATGTTCTTTATAAATACAGCTGAGAGATAGGGCTCAATCCCACTCAAGTGACAGAGGCTCTATATTGGTCAGAACACTTGGATTTCCTATTACACTCAACATCCATAGTAGACAAATCTATACAAACAGCATATTTGTAGTGGCTTTAGTTTCAAAGCATTGGGGACATGGAAGAAAAGCAAAAGGGTACTCTTTTTTACTTATTTATTTGTGTTTATTTTATTTTTCTACTGTATTTATTTGAAAGGCAGAATTACAGAGAGGGAAAGAAAGATCTTCCATCAGCTGGTTCACTCTCCCCAAATGGCTTCAATGGCTGTGGCTGGAAGGCTGGAGTCCAACACTCCATTTAAGTCTCCCACATGGGTTCAGAGTCCCAAGGCCCAATGGGATGCCAATATTGCAGAGGGTGGTTTGATCTATTGTGTCACAACACTAATTCCTTTTGTTAATTTTAGAAGCAAGGAGAGGGGGAAGATATAAAAATGCTCACATCAGTGAGGCTGAGTTAACTTAAACCTGGGAGCTACTGAGGCAGGCATGGCAGTACAGCAGGCTGAGCCATTGATGGGGATGCCCATGTCCCATATCAGCATGCTGGCTCAGGCGCTAGCCATTGTACTTTCAATTCATATTGAATACTAGAATTTTTTTGCTAATGTGCAATGGAGGCAGCAGATGAAGGCAGACTTGAATTTCTGCCTTCCATACTGGAGACCTGGATGGAATTCCTCAACCATGTTGGGCTTTCCACAGCCCTAAATGTTAGGGGCATTGGGCAGAGTTATCTAGTCAAAGGGAAATTCCTCTCTCTCTCTCCATTTCCAAATGATTAGTCAATTACTCTTAAATAATTTAACAAAATCAAGACTTGGGAACTCAATCTAGGCTTCCAACATGGCTCAATTTTTCTTATCTACTTGAGTGTTTTACTTATGGTTGATGTGGTTCCAGGTGGGCATTAGCAGAAATATGGAATTAGGAATGCAGCTGGGAATGAAATCCAGGCATTCTGGGATGTGTGTGTCCCAAGAAGCATCTTTTGCTCTTTTAAGATTTATTTATTTATTTTACTTTCTTCAGATTTTATTTATTTATTTGAGAAATAGAGTTACAGACAGTGAGAGGGAGAGATGAGAGAAAAGTCTTCCATCCACTGGTTTACTTCCCAAATGGCCACAATGATCAGAGCTGTGCCAACCCAAAGCCAGGATTCAGGAGCTTCTTCCAGGTCTTCCACATTGGTGCAGAGACCCAAGAATCTGGGCCATTGTCTACTGCTTCCTCAGACCATAGCAGAGAGCTGGATCAGAAGAGGAGCAGCCAGGACTAGAACCAGTGCCCATATGGGATGCCAGTGCCCATATGGGATGCCAGTGCCTAAGACAGAGGCTTAACATACTGAGCCACAACACCTGACTCTTGAGTTACTTTTAAGAGTTATTTATTTATTTGAAAGAGAGAGAGAGAGGCAGAGAGAGAGAGAGAGTATGAGATCTCTCATCAGCTGTTTCACACCCCAAGTGACCTCAATGTTAAGAGCTGGGCTGATCCAAAGCCAGGAGACAGGAGCTTCTTCTGGGTCTTCAACATGGGTGCAGGGGCCCAAGCACTTGGGCCATCTTCCACTGCTTTCCCAGGAAAATTAGCAGGGTACTGGATCAGCAGTGGCATAGCTAGGATTTGAACTGGTACCCATATGGGATGCCAGCACTGCAGGCGATGGCTTTACCCACTAAGCCACAGTGCCAGCCCCACAATAATCCATTTCTTCCACTCACAAGTTCTTTTCATGCCCATTTGCAGTTCATTCCATTCCCAACTTCAACACTAGGAAACTACAAGTAAGCTTTCTGCATCTATAGAATATATATATATATATATATATTTATTTATTTTAAAAAGACATGTAGATTCTGTGTCTAACTTCTTTCACCTAGCATAATGTTCCTAAAATCCATTTATGTTGTACATTTTGTTTCAGTAATAATTTCACTGAACAGATGCATCATAGTGTATCTATTTGCTCATTGAAAACATTTAGGTTGTTTCAGTTTTATTTGAGTATTAATAAAGCTGTTATGCATATTCAGATGCAGATTCTTTGTGTGACTGTTAGGTTTTCATTCCCCTGAGATAAATAGCTGGGAATGCAACTTTTAAATTATACTCATATGGTGATGTGTGTTTATAAAACGCTGCCATGATTTTTTCCAGAGCTGATATTCCAGCTTACATTCCAACCTGTAATTTGAGAGAGGTCTAGTCACTCCAAATCCTTGCTACCACTTTATATCATCAGCATAAACTTTAGTCAGTATAATAGACTGTGGTAGTATTCATTCTGTTCTTAATTTGTATTTCCACAAAGGCTAATGAACTTGTTTATTTTTCATGTACTTACTTCCAGTATGTATATACCTACCCCTTTGTGAAATGTATGTTCATGTCTTTCTCCATTTCTGATTGGACTTCCTATTTTCCCATAAATCAGTTTAGAGTATGTATATATACTCATATATATAAATTGTATATAGATAGTGTGCATATGTATATATAGTGTGTATCTCTATACACACACATACATACTAGATACATGTACTTTTTGAGGCATGTGATTTGCACCCCATTAGTATGTAGTATTTCATTTTTTGTAACACTGTAAATGCATACTGAAACATTCACCTATCATTTATGTACACAATTGTTTCTTACCTCAGTCAGCCATTTTTATATGTACAAATTTTGAATCTCTGTCATTTTGTAGATATATAAAAAATTATACATTCCTTGTCAATTGGTCTTTTCGTCATTATGAAATGTTATTTTTTATCCCTAGCAATATGCCATGTCCTGAAATCTATGTTGCTTCTTATCAATATAGTCAGTCTAGCTTACTATGATTAGTGTTTGCAAGGTATTCTTTTTCTTTTAACTTGTCTGTGTACTGATATTTAATTTAATTTTCATTTCTTTCAGAAATTTAGCTTTTTTAGCATATAGTTGGAGTGGCTTTTTTTTTTTCAGTAAGAAAACTGATTTAATTGGAATGCTTACAGCCTTTACAGTTAATGTAATCATCAGTAAGACTTTCAGTGTTTCATTGTACTGCATATTTGTTGTTTATTTTGTTCTCACTAAAGCTTTCTTTCTTTCTCTAGCTAGTTGTGTTTATTTATTCATTTAGGATATATTTTGTCCTAGCTATTTGTTTATGGGCTTTAGCCCTTTATTCTTTTTAAAATATGGCTATACTGAATGAAATAAGCCAGTCCCAAAGGGACAAATACCATATGTTCTCCCTGATCGGTGACAACTGACTGAACACCAAAAAGGAAACCTGTTGAAGTGAAATCGACACTATGAGAAATGGTGACTTGATCAGCATAGCCCTGACTGTTAATGAACAACTTAATACATTATCCCTCTTAGTAGTTTTTTTTTTTTTGTCTGTTCTACTTAATATGACTGGTTTAATTCTGTAATTATCACATAGTTATTCTTAAGTGTTGAAATTTAACTGAAAGGTGATCCCTGTTAAACATAAGAGTGGGGATAAGAGAGGGAAGAGATGTACAATTTGGGACATGCTCAAGCTGACTTGTCCCAAATGGTAGAGTTAGAAACATACCAGGGGACTCCAATTTAATCCCATCAAGGTGGCATGTACCAATGCCATCTCACTATTCCAAGTGATCAATTTCAGTTCACAATTGATCATAATGAAAGGACTAAGAGTCAAAGGGAGCACATAGACAAGTCTAGTACCTGCTAATACTAACTGATAGAATAAATAAAGGGGAGAGTGATCCAACATGGGAAGCGAGATACTCAGCAGACTCATAGAATGGCAGATGTCCTAAACAGCACTCTGTCCTCAGAATCAGCCCTAAAGGCATTCTGATCTGGCTGAAAAGCCCATGAGAGTATTTCAGGCATGGAAAGCCAAGACACTCTGGCAAAAAAAAAAAAAAAAAAAAAAAAAAAAAAAACAACAACCTAAATGAAAGATCTCTGTGAGTGAGATCCCAGTGGAAAGAACAGGTCTTCAAAGAAGGAGGTACCTTTCTCTGAAGGGAGGAGAGAACCTCCACTTTGACTATGACCTTGTCTAAACAAGATAGAGTCGGAGAACTCAAGGGCTTCCATAGCCTTGGAAACTCATGACTGGAGCATAGGGAGAATACTGATGCCATAAACAGGAGTGTCAATTTGTAAAGTCAACAACAGGAGTCACTGTGCACTTACTCCTCATGTAGGATCTCTGTCCTTAATGTGCTGTACATTGAGCTTTAATGCTATAACTGAGTACTCAAACAGTATATTTCACTTTGTGTTTCTATGGGGGTGCAAACTGTTGAAATCTTTACTTAATGTATACCAAACTGATCTTCTGTTAAAAAAAAAAAAAAGAAGAAATTGTCAATTCCCAACTTGACTCTCACTGGGATTAAACATGACAATAGGTCTGATGTGATTTCATCATCATTTAAAAAATCATCTATTATTTTTCACTTTATGTTCTGTGTCGGAGCAAACTGTTGAAATCTTTACTTAATATATGCTAAACTGATCTTCTGTATATAAAGAGAATCAAAAATGAATCTTGATGTGAATGGAAGGGGAGAGGGACTGGGAGAAGGTAGGGTTGCAGGTGGGAGGGACGTTATGGGGGGGAAGGCATTGTAATCCATAAGCCGTACTTTGGAAATTTATATTCATTAAATAAAAGTTAAAAAATATGATTTTCTATGCATTAATATAACCACATTTACCTTATCTCAGTCTATTTGTTTAACATTTTTATTTATTTATGGGCATGCAGGGATGGAGATGAGAGTAAGTTCCAGAGTGAGAGCAAGAGAATGAGGAAGAATGTGTGTGTGAGGGAGAGAGAGGGAGGGAGAGAGACATCTCCCATCAGCAGGCTTCTCTCTCAAATACCAAAAATGCTCATGGTAGGGCTAATTCCAAAGTGGTAACTCGACTAAAATCCAGATCTCCCACATTGGTGGCAAGGACCCATCAATTTGAGTCATCACCTGTTGCTGCCCAAGGGTGTACACCAGCTGGAAACCAGAATCAGAACTCAAAGTAGGATTCAAACCATTATGTTAAAGGGAGGGAGGGAGGGAGGGGGATGGGAGGGGATGGGAGAGAAGGAAGGGAAGGGAAGGGAAGGGAAGGGAAGGGAAGGGAAGGGAAGGGAAGGGAAGGAAGGGAAAGGAAGGGATACAAGGAGACAGACATTCTATATGCTAGCTCACTCCACAGATGCTGGATGATGACAATACCCAGAGCTGGTCCAGGCCAGAAGATGGCAAATCAATCCAAGCCACCTCTGTGGGTGACAGAGAATCAACTATTTGAGCCATCACCTGCTGCCTCCCAGAGTTTGCACCAGCAGGAAACTGCAATCAGGAGTGGAGTTGGGACTCCAATCCAGGCCCTCCAATAAGGGATGCAGCTGTATCAAGTGGCATCTTAATTGCTATGACAAAGGCCTGCCCTGTATGTATTTTATTAATTCCAAAACACATTGTTACTATTGTTACATTAAATGGATAAATGTGTATTGAAAGAATTTTAAAAATAAGAGAAACACATTTTATATTTACCTATGGATTTACCATTTCTGGGCGCTTTATTTATTTATTTTTTTGTGGATCTGGATTTCCATTTGGCACAAATTTCCTTCAATTTACAATAAATATTTGTACAATAAAAATTTGTTCAAATTATTGTGTAATTTGTAGCAGATGATTTCTTTATTTGTATACCTGAAAAAGCATTTCATCATATGTATGAAAGAAACTTATATATGTGTGTGTGTACACAAATATATATATATATAATACATATATATGTTTCATATATATGTTTCTACTTTTAAACTAAATATAGATGTTATGGTGAGTCTTTCACTCTCATTGTTGGAACTTGGAAATCTCCCAGTTTGGGGAATGGTTTTATCTTGGGCTTCCTAGTTTCACCTGACTTACACACACCTTAATATCCACCAATGCAGAGACCCTTATGCAGATTTATGTAGATCTTTCTCTGGATAGCTTCCTTCTTCCTGATCCACATCTCCCAAATCACACCTGACAACACAAATTCTACTCAGCCCAGAAGAACCACCTTAGTTTCCATCCTCCTGAGCTACCTTCTTCTAACAGAAATGGGTCCTCTTTTATAGGGGACTCTTGTTTTCTTGCTCAAGGATTATGGACCAAGACTCCTGTTGCCCAATATCTGTATGCATTGGTCTCATTTTTCTGTATTCTTACTGTTTATGGTGGGAAGACAAATCTGGTACCAATGACTTCAACAAGGCTCAAAATGAATAAAGCAGGCCAGCACCATGGCTCACTTGGCTAATCCTCCACCTGTGGTGCCGACACCCCGGGTTCTAGTCCTGGTTGGGGCTCCAGGTACCAGTCCCAATTGCTCCTCTTCCAGTCCAGCTCTCTGATGTGGCCCGGGAGAGCAGTGGAGCATGGCCCAAGTGCTTGGGTCCCTGCACCCACATGGGAGACTGGGAGGAAGTATCCAGCTCCTGGCTTTGAACCGTCACAGCACCAGCCTTAGCAACCATTAGGGGAGTGAACCATCTCCTGATGCATCTTAGAGGCAGCGATTATGGTCTCAGTGCTTGGGTCCATTTCACCCACCAGGAAGATCTTAAAGGAGTTCCTCACTCCTGGCTTATATTTGACCCAGATTTGGTTGTTGTGAGCATTTGGGGAGGGAACCAGCAGGTGGGGGTTCATCTCTCTCTCTCTTGCTCTATCTCTCTCTCTTTTTAATACTAAATAATAATAAAAGACTCAAAAGATTTTAAAAATTCCTACTTTTAGAATTCATTGTTGAAAATGACCAATATGAGAAGGTAAGTGTTATTTTAATTCCATTGAAGGTAATGATTATTTGATGTTCTGCCAGTATACATATAGAATTTCTCCCCATTCTTAAATTTGACTGTGTTTCTACTATATGTCTTCAGATGTTCTACTCACTAAATTGACTTAGAATATAGCCAACTCCTCCACATTACAATATAACTTTATAGAGTATATACATATGTACCATAACACATTTCAATATTTGGGGATAATTCCTGCATTAACTCATGATGCTAAGTGGATTTTTTTTTTTTTTGGACAGGCAGAGTGGACAGTGAGAGAGACAGAGAGAAAGGTCTTCCTTTTCCATTGGTTCACTCCCCAATGGCCACAGTGGCCAGCGCACTGTGGCCAGCGCACTTAACTGATGTGAAGCCAGGAGCCTGGTGCTTCTCTTCATCTTCCATGCGGGTGCAGGTCTCAAGCACTTGTGCCATCCTCCACTGCAGTCCCGGGCCACAGCAGAGAGCTAGACTGGAAGAGGAGCAATTGGGAAAGAATCTGGCACCCCGACTGGGACTAGAACCTGGTGTGCGGGCGCCTCATGAGGAGGATTAGGCTATGTAGCCGCAGCACCGTCAATCAGGCTTCCATAGCCTTGGCAACTCATGACAAGAACCTAGGGAGATTACTGATGCCATAAACAAGAGTGTCAATTTGTTAAGTCAACAACAGGAGTCACTGTGCACTTATCCCTCATGTAGGATCTCTGTCCTTAAAATTCTGTACATCATGATTTAATGCTATAACTAGTACTCAAACAGTATTTTTCACTTTGTGTTTCTGTGTGGGTGCAAACTGTTGAAATCTTTGCTTAATATATACTAAATTGATCTTCTGTATATAAAGATAATTGAAAATGAATTTGATGTGAATGGGATGGGAGAGGGAGTGGGAGATGGGATGGTTGCAGGTGGGAGGGAAGTTATGGGGGGGGGAAAGCCACTGTAATCCATAAGCTATGCTGTGGAAATTTATACTTGTTAAATAAAAGTTAAAAAAAAAAACTAGTGATGTAACCACAAAAACAATGGTTAAGTTTGTACAAATATTCATCTTAATGCAAGCTATGCATGTGTTCAGGTAAAACTAAGAACAGAGACATCATGGGAGCAGGTGCTATCCAAATTATCCAACTGACAAACTTGTCAAAACATAATAATTAAAACATAATAATTAAGCAATGGTACTGTGGCATATTTTTTAATGCTAATGCTATATTTTGGATAGGGTTGGTGCTTCATTTAATTTGTGATTCGGTCTTTTCTGACAAATTGAATGAGTTCCATTTGGCAACAGATGAACAAAACTGCTGTGAACAGAATTACCAAAATCATATGAACTATAAAATTGCTTTTAGTTTAGCAGTTTGATACCAAGATATCAGACATTTAAAATGACATTTCTAATATTTGATAATATTAATTTACATTTAAAGCATTTTAGATAAAAATAGATTGAATTTATTTGAAAGCAGAGTAAGAGAGAGAGAGAGAGAAAGAGATAGGGAGAGAAAAAGATGTCCTCTATCCATTGGTCTACTGCCCAAATGGATTCAGTGGCCTGGTCTAAGCCAGGCCAACACAAAATGCATGGAGCTTCATGCAGGTATCCAACATGATTGGCAGGGATCCAAGCACATAGGTCATATCCCATTGTTTCCACAGCCACATTTTCAGGAAGCTGGATCAGAAGTGGAGCCACTGGCCTCAAACTGGTACTCATGGGATGTCAACATCAGGTGCCTTGGCTTTATCTGCTGAGCCACAGCATTGGCCCCAAACCACAAGTAATGTATTTCAAAATTAAACTCTGGAAATTATTAAGAATCTATTCCTACTGCCAATTCTTCTCTGTCACTCTGCCTTTCAAATAAATAAATCTAAAATTTATTTATCACAAGTGGGATGGGCTATCACTTGCAAATTCCAGCTGCTCCACTTTCATTCCAGCTTCTTTTTTAAGGTACCTTGAAAAGCAGTGGAAGATGATTTAAGTACTTGGGCAACTGCCACCCTGTGGGTGACTGATATTATCCAGTTCCTGACTCTTGAATTCCACCTAAAAAACATCAATGTTCCAACCATTTGGGAGTGAACCAATGGTTGGAAGATCAATTCCCCCCTCACTCTCTCCATCTTTGCCATACTACTTTTCAATAAATAAAGTGATTCATGTTAAAAAGAATGTTATTTGGGATGGCATTGTGGTCCAGCTAGTTAATCTACTACTTGCCATGCAAGCACCCCATATCAGAGTGCCAGTTTGAGTGCTGGTTGCTCCACTTCTGATCAGGTTTCTTGCTAATTCATCTGGGAATGCAAAGATGACCCAAGTATTTGAGCCCATGCCACCTGTGTATGTGAAACCAAGCTTGAGTTTTTGCCTCCTGGCTTCAGCCAGGCCAAACCCTGGCTATTGCATCCATTTCAATTGTGAATCAATGATTGGAAGATATCTCTCCTCTCTCTCTCTCCTCTCCCTCTTTATAACTTTTAAATTATGTTAAAATGAATATCAATTTTTGTAAAAATCATGGCTCTATTGAAAACCATCTAAGATCTAATTATGGGTGCTGGTGTTGTGGTGTAGTGGGTAAAGCTGCAGCCTACAATGCCAGCATCCCATATGGGAACCAGTTCAAGTCCTGACTGCTTCACTTCCAATCCAGCTCTCTGCTATGGCCAGGGAAAACAATAGAAGATGTTGCAAGTCTTTGGACCCCTGGACCTGTGCAGGAGACCTGGAAGAAGATCTTGGCTCCTGATCTTGGCTCCTGGCTTTCGATTGGCAGAGCTCCAGCTGTTGTGGCCAATTGGGGAGTGAACCAATGGATGGAAGGCCTCTTTCTCTCTGCCTCTCCTTCTCTCTTTGTGTAACTCTGACTTTCAAATACACAGATTTTTTTTTAAAATATCTAATTTTGAATATCTATGACTACTAAATTAATTGTATTTATTCTTTACTTCTAAGTAAATATAATGCACTCTTAATAACTAACATGGAGCCGGTCCTGTGGCTTAATAGGTAAAGCTGCTGCCTGCAGTGCTAGCATCCCATATGGGCACTGGTTCAAATCCTGGCTGATCCACCTCTGATCCAGCTCTCTGCTATGTCCTGGAAATCAGCAGAAGATGGCCCAAATCCTTGGGCCCCTACATACAAGTTGAAACATGGAAGTGGCTCATGGATCCTAGCTTGAATTTGTGCAGCTCTGGCCATTATGGCCATCTGGAGAGTGAACCAACAGATGGAAAACCTCTTTCTCTCTCTCTCTCTCCCTCTCTGTCTCTCTCTCTCTCTCTCCCCCCTGTAACTCTACCTTTCAAATAAGTAAATATCTTTTTTAAAAAGACTAACATATCTGTTATTGTACATAATATATGCTCCAATAATCACATAATATATGCATACTACCTACAAGTAAAGCTGCCATACTAATAAATAAGTTTTAATTGTTCAGCATTATGCACAGCTGTAAATTCCAGTAGCATAGCAGTAACTTTAATAAAGCTTTAACAAGCTGACACTGCAGCTCACTAGGCTGCAGCACCAGCACACTGTGTTCTAGTCCTGGTTGGGGTGCCAGATTCTATCCCAGTTGCT